AAAAAAAAAAAGAACCCAAATCTTGCCATGGCCTACTCACTATTTAGTAGAAGGCTTGAGGACAATGCCAAATAGAGTCAGGCTTCCTTTCCCCAGTCTCAGAAATACCTTCCTGAACCCACGTTTTACAGGCAGGGCCCATAAGTGTCAGACTTGGGTCATGGCCACATGCTCAGGACAAGCCCCATGACATCTGCCCCATGAGCAACCAACCTGGATCATCTCAGAGAGGAAGGGGAATATACAAGAAGCCCGGAGAGGCAGGGAGCAACTTCAGGGCATTTGGGGTCTTGGAGAGAAAGGCTTTATGTACATATATACTTTATACAAGCAGTCCCCAGGTTACGATCAAGATAGGCCTGTATAGGCTTGTTCTTAAGTCAAATTTGTATGTAAGTTAGAATAGGTACATTTACCTATGACCCATAATAGCTTCCATTTGTAAATGTGAGCTGTACATAAGTCGGATGTTTGTAACTTGGGAACTGCTTGTATATGGCCTTCCAGCAGGTCTATGTGGATATCATTACTTTACACAACTATAGAACGGAATTTAACCCCAAACAGGACTTTGCCTAAGTGGAGTGGTTTGAGGGACACAGAAAAGGCCACTGCATCCACATACTGTCCCCAGCCAGCCTGCCTTTGTAGCTGAAATTCTAGCAGTTGCTGTCTGTTTCTATGGATTAAATCACCATGGCTGGCTGACCTAAAAATGTGTTTTGAAGGGTATTACATATACATAGCTTCTTATCAGTCAAGAACACTTGAGTATAAATCACTCTAGCAGATTCCCTTTTAACTCTTCTTCTAGCTGATAAAAAAGAGCTGTACAGAAATGGATACAGAATTAGTAAGCTTAGATTCAGGCTGGAGGGTGGGGAACGTCAGATGGATAACACAGGGCATTCCAAGAAGGCCGCCTGGAAAGCCTGTGGCAGCTGTGGAAACAAGCCAGCCACTGAGAGCTTGTGCAGTTTGCCCAGGTCACAGCAGCAAACTGGGCCCAGATGTGTAGACGCAGAGGACGGGTGAGCTTCCTCAGTTGCCCAACAAAAGGAGCCTGCTTGGGAGCCTTCTGAAAGGGTCATTTCATGAAAACTTCCCTCTGAAAAATCTCCCCTCCAAAGCTGTGCTCCACAGGAATGCAACAGAAAAACTCAAACTTACTAGAACAAAACTGGATCTGGATGAACCCTTCCAATGAACCCCAAGAACTCTTAAACTTCCTTCAAGAACTCTAAGGGCCCTTGAAGTTCTCTGGAAGGGACGTCCTACATGGGTGGCCACTCACTATGGCAGGAGAGATAAGGACCTTTGAGACCCCCAGGAACCCTTAGGCCCAGGACATACACTGACAAAGACCAGGCTGCCCACCCAGGGCAGGAGATTCACAGGCCTTTCCTGAGGACTCCTTACCTCTCGGTGCCGGAGCTGCAAATTTTGGCCTTCATAGTACAAGTTGTAGGTCTTCAGATGCAAGAGAAGTTCATTCCTTAAAGGGAAAAAGATACAAGAGTTTGGGGCCAGGTGCCGTGGCTCATGCCAGTAATCCTAGCACTCTAGGAGGTCAATGAGGGTAGAGTGCTTGAGCTCAGGAGTTAGAGACCAGCCTGAGCAAGAGCAAGACCCCATCTCTACTAAAAATAGAAAAATGAGCCAGTGTTGTAGTGATGGAAAGAACGATTTAGGAACTTCTAGGTGTTTCAGCAGATTAATAGGCATAGGTCAGGGCCTTGCTAACTGTAGGCCCAGCTACTCCAGAGGCTGAGGCAAGAGGATCTCTTAAGCCCAAGAGACTGAGGTTGCTGTGAGCTATGATGCTCAACTTAGCACTCAACTCAGGGCAAAAAAAAAAAGATATACGAGGTACAACTTTATCAGCTGAAGCCACTTATAATGCAGCTGTTCCCTTCCTAGCTCACACCTAACCTGGTCTGTAATTATCCACCTTTGGGTGTTCACACACATGCACACACACACACACAGAGCTCTGCCACCGTCACTCTATCACCATCCTCCCCTAGAATCAAGTAAGCACCAGGCCAGAGCAGACTCTAGGTCAGGAGCAGCTCCAGAACACCAAAGCAGGTCTTGTCTGCTGACAACAGGACAGTAACTGGCGTCTCTCACAACACGCCCCCACACGCAAGCTGAATAGGCCGGTGTTAATAAGATTCACAGAGACAAACACGTTCAAAGGCCACAGACAGGGTTCTCCGGCCCCTCCATTGAGTTTCCTCCCTTAAGCATGCTGAGTGAGGGAAACGAAGTTACTACAGGCCTGCTCAAAACTTAGGAACTTCCAGGCGTTTCAGCAGATTACTAGGGACAGGTCTGGGCCTTGCTGACTTATGCTTCATAGACATGACCTTACCCTGTGTTTAAACAACTTACAAACCCATGTATACAATGGAATGCTATTTCATTCATAGAAAAAGATAGAGACTTTACAACTTTTGTATTAACCTGGATGGCGTTGGAGAGCCTTCTTCTTAGGAAAGGATCACGGGAATGGAAACTAACAAGAAGCCAGAACACAAACAAACACACTTCAGCATAAGAGAAAACCTCAACTAAATTCTAGTTGGGGGAAGAGGGGAAGAGAGAAGGGGGAAGCAGAGAGGAGGAGGGGAGAGAGGGATCAGTGTGCTCCCACCTAATGGGCACCGTGGAAGGGTACATGGCACACCTCCTGGTCTACAAAAGAGACTTTACCTAACAAATGCAATCAATGTAACCTAATCGTTTGTACTCTCATAGTAATCTGAAATTAAAAAAAAAAAAAAACTTACAAACTCCCAGCAAAGTGAAATGAATAAATAAAGGCAACTACACTCACACAACAGAATATTGCACAGTGATAGGAATGTGAATGATGACACACAGCGAGGACAAATGTCCCAGGTGTGTGAGAGAAAGAAGCCAGACACAGCAGAGCACACCGTGTGTGATGCCGTTTACGTGAAGGTCTACATGGAGTGTTGGAATTCAGAACAGGATTCACCACGGGGAGTAGTGAAAAGATGTGGGCATAATGGGACTGCCGGGCCCCAGCAATATTCTTCCAGTTCATAAAAAATCAAAAAATCAAAAAACAAAACAAAAACAAACCTTAGAAACTCCCGCTTTGAAGCCTAGGATTGAGCCTCCTTAGCTGCCCAAAACTGGTGCCACTCAGAGAGCACAACTCTGCTGAATGTGGCCAGAGAAGAGATGCCACCCTCCCACCCTCCTTGTGATAAGGGAACCCCCACCCCCTGCAATCAACCCTAAGAATTCACAAATCTAGTTTGTTTCTGTTTTTTGTTTGTTTGGGCTTTTTTGTTTTTTGTTTTTTTTTTTGAGACAGAGTCTGACTGTGTCACCCTGGGTAGAGTGCTGTGGCATCATAGCTCACAGCAACCTCAAACTCCTGGGTTGGAATGATCCTCTTGTCTCAGCCTCCTAAATTACCAGCGCCCATCTGCCACAACATCCAGCTCACAAATCTAGTTTTATCTAAAAGCGCATGTTACTATACTCCATGGGGGATGAGCGGGAGAGAGGTGTAGGGGCTGTTGTGTGCTTCTGCCTATTCCCAGGCAAGAGGTAACAGTTCAGTCTCTCTGAACACGGTCATTCCCTGGAGAGCTATTTGGATCACACGGAAGACAAAACCTGCTGGAAATTCCAAGAAACTCCTGACAAGTTCAACCTAGATGAACTGGAATCATTCTGTGCAAGCAGAAATGAATTACTGAAAAGTATGATTCCAAGTAACCTAAAACACAAGGCTATTTGGTACTTTTGAACAGATCAGAAGCCAAGGTTTAAAACTTCTGGTCAGTAGAAGTCCCTGGGGAGGTCTTTCAGTGAAGAGATAAGAGTGATCAAGACACAACTACAACAGGGACTCTACCCAACAAATTCAAACTTAATTGTTTGTACCCTCACATGAATCTGAATTAATAATAATAAAAGAGATAAGAATGACCCAGATCTCACACAACTGGTGTCTGTGTATGACCAAGAGTACTTATGGACTTCAAATAATTTAGTCTCAGATAAATTAAATATTTAATTAAGACAGAGAGAATTCAGTATGTAAAATCCCTGTGCTGAACCTAAAACATAGATCTTCAGGGAGGCGCCTGTGGCTCAGTGGGTAGGGTGCCGGCCCCATATACTGAGGGTGGCAGATTTGAACACAGCCCTGGCCAAATTGCAACAAAAAAATAGCCTGGCGTTGTGGCAGGTGCCTGTAGTCCTAGCTACTTGGGAGGCTGAGGCAAGAGAATCGCCTAAGCCCAAGAGCTGGAGGTTGCTGTGAGCTGTGACTCCACAGCACTCTATCGAGGGCAAAATATATATATACATCTTTAAACTTAGTTCAAAAAAGTCCACTGTGGTACAACCCCAGTCACATTTGCAAAAGCTCTGAGTTCAAGAGGCCTCAGTACATAGAAGGCAATGAAATTGTCCCCTGCTGTGCCAATTTTTAGCCAGAACCATAACAGCCCAGGGACACATTACACCAGCCAGGAGTCCACGAAGGAACACCACAGGACAGTGAGGAGCATTTTAGCCCATTTAGGCTGAGGATACCATAAGCTGGCTGGTTCATAAACAACGGAAATGTACGTCTCATGGTTCTGAAGGCCAGAAGTCCAAGATCAAGGTAGATTCAGTATCTGGTGAGAGCCCATCCTCACAGCCAGCACCTGCTCACTGTGTCCTCACATGTGGAAGGGTAAACAAGCTCTCTCGGCCTCTTGTATAAGGGGCACTCCAACCTTATCACCATCCAAGGGCCCCACCTCTTAATACTAGCACCTTGGGAGGGTAGGTTCCAACATATGAATTTGGGGGAGGACCAAACATTCAAACCGTAGCAAACAGCCACCAGCCAACTCCTCTCCTGGAAGCCTTTCAGGACACCACCCCTCTTCAGCCCCTCCAACGTCCAAAGCCTCCCCTTTACTTAAACGCCAGTGTTTGGGGGTGTGCCTTTATCTATGGTGGCAGCCTTGCTGATGCGCCCGGTAGGTCCAGGTTCAGCTGCTCCGCTCCTTCATGCTTATGGGTGCCCCATCTGTCTGATGTACAGGGGAAGCCCCCTCTGCCAGTGGCTGGCATCCACTCACAGCATCCCAACACAGGATTGGCCCCTGGGGACATAGCACCGTAGTAAAACATCTTACTTGGAAATGTATTTATCTTGTCCACATGGGACCAGGGAAGTTTGGTGACTGTAGTCCATTCTTCCTTTCTCTTTTCATCAGAAGAAGCCTGTATTCAAAAGGAGAAGACAGAGGTTAATGTCAGGTTGTGTCCTTGGAAACTTGGCAGCACTTGGGCAGCAGGGGGTGGGAGTGGAGGGCAGAAGTGCAGGACACAAAATTGGATGACATAGCTCTTTGTTTCCCCCAGATCCACAGCTAACACTGGCCTAGGCCTAGGGAGATGCCACTCTGCCAGCTGTGGCCTCTGCTTGCCACAGCCTCTGGGAAAAACACCCAAAGGAGCCAGGCACGGGGGATCACACTTGTAATCCTAGCACTTTGGGAGGCTGAGGTGGGTGGATTGCATTGAACTCAGGAGTTCGACATCAGCCCGAGCAAGAGCAAGACCCCGTTTCTACTAAAAATAGAAAAACTAGCCAGGCATTGCGGCAGGCCCCTATAGTCCCAGCTACTTGGGAGGCTGAGGCAAGAGGATCTCTGAGCCCAAGAGTTTGAGGTTGCTGTGAGCTGTGATGACACAACACTCTACCAAGGGTGACAAAGTGAAACTCTGTCTCAAAAAATAAATAAATAAAATTTAAAAAAATTAAATTACCTAAAAAAAAAAGAAAAGAAAAGAAAAACTGGCTCAGCATCTATAACACCACAGCACTTTACCCCGGGTGACAGAGTGAGACTCTGTCTCAAAAAAAAAAAAACACCCAAAGGAAAGATGACAACCTTTCACAGTCTGAGAATAAATGCCCTAACCATAGAGAAGGCAGTATTTTCTTGAATGTTTAAAGAACAATGTAAACTTGAATGTTTATTCAAGTTGGTTCTGAGGACAATTGGTGAGTCCTCTCTGAAGCCACCTTCATAAGACAGAACAGAGACCTATCTGACCGGGATAGCTCAGATTCTATTGAGATATACCGAAGATTGGTAAACCACCTAAAAAAAAACAAATATAGCTGTGTCAAATAAATCATAGCATATATATGTCTGCAATGACCATTACAACAGGACAGCATAAAAGGCAATTTAATTATCTGGGAAAATAATAAATTGTGAAAATGCAGGTTACAGAACCATAGTTCAATTTTCTTTACAACACATGTAAAGTGTAACATACGCACATATATAAACGAGCACACATTGCTGTGTGAATTTATATACTCGCACGTGTGCACTGTATATACATGTGCGGGCTTTTCAGCCTCAGCTCTATGAACACTTGGAACCTGATCGTTCTCTGTGGTGGGGGGCTGTCTTGTGCATGGGGGGTGTTCAGCAGCATCCCTGGATTCCACCCACAAGACACTGCCAGTACTGCCCCAGTTATGACAATCAAACATGGCTCCACAGGCATTACTAAGTGTCCCTGAGGGCAAAATCACTCCAGAAAGAGAACCACTGGCACGTGTATGTAAATGAACAAAAGGCTGGCTGTATTTGAGTAATGGCATTTCCAGTGATTTTTCAAAACCATTTTATTATGAAAATTTTCAAACATAAATATGACAGTTGGATGCTGTGGCTCATGCCTATAATCCCAGCAATTCGGGAGGCCAAGTCAAGATGTTTGCTTCAGGCCAGGAGTTTGAGACCTGTTTGGGAAACAGAGCAAGACCCCATCTCTACACAAAGTAAAAAAATTATCCAGGTATGATGGCATGCACCTGTAGGCCCATCTACTCTGGAGGCTGAGGCAGGAGGATCACTTGAGCCCAGGAATTTGAGGTTACGGTGAGCTATAATCAGGCCACAGGGCCATGGGGCCATCGCACTCCAGCCTTGGCGACAGAGAGAGAACTTATCTCTAAAAAGAAAGAAAAAGAAAAGAAATATGACATGTGTTTGTGTTGTTTTAAACCACCAAGTCTGTGGTGATGTTTTACAGCAGCAAGAAGAAAACAGGGGCATTCTGAGGGGAGGGATGTGATCTGTTGCACAATTTGGAAAAATTGTGGAGAAAGGATGGGAGAAGGTGGCTGGGGACTGGGTCCTGGCACCAGAGGTCAGGAGAGTGAATGAGGCCATCCGAGGAGAGCAGGGAAGGCAAGGAGGGCAGGGCCCCCAGGAGCCCAGGTGGTCAGGGTGGGCAGAGGAAGAGGGGTCACAAGAGACAGGATAGCCTGGAAGCCCAAGGACAGTGCTTTGAGAAAGAGGCCACAGTCAGTACAACCAGGAGCTGGGAGCCAAAGTCCCAGGAGGGAGACCCACAGTAGCCTCTGATTTACAGGGGACCTGGGCAGAGTCACTTACACAGCCTGGCTGGAGTGGAAATTGGATGAACAGTGCCTGCCATCACCAGCCCTTTGCACCCTGAGCGCTGGAGTCTTCCTTTGGTCAGGGGGAATGTTATTCTATGCTTTCTTTTGTTATTTCTCTTCTCTCTCCCATTCTTGGTTCTTCTGAATCTCTCTCTCCTCTCTCCAGCACTATCTATCCACTCATTTCTGTAGCAATTCTCTAAGTCTCAGACCCTTTTTATTCATAATCTCTCCATCTCCTTTTTTTCTTTCTTTCTTTCTTTTTTTTTTTTTGAGACAGAGTCTTACTATGCCACCCTCATAGAGTGCCCTGGCATCATAGCTCACAGCAACCTCAAACTCCTGGGCTCACTCAATTTTCATGCCTCAGCCTCCCAAGTAGGTGGGATACAGGCACCCACCACAATGCCTGGCTAGTTTTAGAGATGGGGTCTCGCTTGCTCAGGCTAGTTTTAGAGATGGGGTCTCACTTGCTCAGGCTGGTCTCGAACTCCTGACCTCAAGTAATCCACCCACCTTGGCCTCCTAGAGTCCTGCACCTCTCTTCACCAACTTTCTAACCACGCAGCACATCACTGGCTAGTCCCAGCCAGCAGAAAAAAAACAAGCTAAATTTACATACACTTTAAGGCAAACACAAGAGTAGCCCTAACAAAGGGCCGGAAATTTACAGTTAAGTCTGATATTTTTTAAACAGAGCATTGTTTCTCACTCAAGGAAGGGTCAGAGGAAGATGGGTTATGGAGCTGGAATGTGGACTCAATTGGACACTTCCTTCAAGGGTGGCTGCCAATATCTGCAGCCTTTGAGAGAGGGATTCACTTAACAGACTGGCTGCCACTCTTCTGCCTTCCCTGTTATTATCTAGAATGTGTGGAGCCCTCTTGGGCTTCAAAATGCCTTGTAAAAACCATTCACAAGCATCACTTCCCACAATGCCTTGGGATATGGACCAGGTCTTTGTGGAAGGGAAAGCAAGGCAGGGAGGAATGGGGGGGGGGGGATGTCCCATAGCAGCCCGCATCTCAGACACAGAACTGAAACACTTCAGAGCACTGAAACACTTCTGAGAAAAGGGATAAGAAAGAAAGGGCGGATTTTACACAAATAATTTTTAATGTGGCGCTGCTCTTAGAATGTTAAACAGTTAAATCTACCAAGCGGGACGTAGCTATTTAACTCCTCAAAACTTCTAAACCAGTACTTCTCTTTAGAAAACTAGTGTAGAAAATTACATTCCCTTAGACACAGCAATCTTCTGCCTGCTGCTTCTTTCTGCTCTTGGGCCTGCAGCTCCCAGCCTGGGCCTCTCTCCTGCACATGTCCCCAGTCTCATGGTTACTTCTTCAGGCAGGGAAGGGTTCAAGGCCAGCCCAAGGGTGCTAACCTGCTGCCTTAGGTCAGGGAATTCCTAGAAGCAGAGCCCAAGACGAAGATCCCTGGACACGTGGAAGTGTTTCCTGGAGAAACCTGTGAGGGAGTAAGGGAAGCGGGATGGGGTACAGGGCTCGGCTGGGGTCCAGCCACAGCTTGGTCCCAGGGAGAGCTCTGGGGTGTAAGGGGCACTACAGAGTGGTCCCAGCCAGGACCCTGGAGCCCTGTCAGTTACTGGCTGAGAGCCACCCATGGGAGGAAGGGTGACCTGCCCTCACTTCCTACAAGAACAATTATGAGGATGAAGCAGTCAACACAACACACGCCACAGACTGGAGGACTCGTGGGCACGCAGTGTCTGCTGCACCTGCCCCGTGTCTGGGACTGAACAGCTACAAGCCCTGTCACCTTCCCCTTCCCCCTCCCCTTCCCGAGGCTGGGAGGCCACAGCTGTCCAGTCAGGACCTTTGGTTTATGTGTCTGTTTTATGCCAGGACCAGCCTGGTGCTGTGTGAGCCAAGGCTGCAGGGACAGGGCAGACGCAAAGCCCTGCCGCAGTTGCACAAAGGATCTTTCCCTTTTCCTTCCCACAGACCCCCACTGACAGGTGTTTCCAGCTTTCCCAAGAATAAAAGAAAGGCTGTCCAAGCCCTTGAAATTCACAGGCTGAGCTTCCTGTGAGACCAAACACGAGTCCTCTGGATGCTCTGGGAGGTGGAAAAGGCATCCGGAGCTCCCACCAAAGACGGCAGCTCTTGGTCCCTCCTACCCGGTCGAGGAGCCTGGAGAGCACAGGGGGTTAACCCAGTCTCCCAGCACCCCAGGACCTTGGCCCGTCCCTCCAGTTCTGTTTGGGCCCAGAGACCAAGCACCTCTCCCCGTATTTATCAGCTCAAAAGTCCCCAGAAGGAGAGGGGCAAATGCGGAACCGAAAGGCAGTCAACCCTGGCATGAAAGTCCAGAGTGAGGGAGACTTTGGGTTGCTTTTGGAGTTTTTTTGTTTGTTTGCTTTTTCCTAAACTGTCTTGCTGATTGTAGAACAAGGGCCAGTCCCTCCCACCCCCTTCTCTGCTGATGGAGGGATGGTGGGGAGGGGAGGGAAGTCCCATCTCTGAGAAAGTACCCCTGGGAGAAGGGAGAGACAGATGCGGGGAGGAGAAGGCTTTCACAGAGAATTCCCGGGGTGGGGGGGCAAACCACACAGAGCCACCCCTGACCAGTGCGAAGCCAGACACTGGGTGAGGCCTCAGCTGTGTCCTGGGACACATGACATCTCAGAGGTGTAGGCTTTGCTAATTAGATTCTTCTGGAGCAAAGGCAGGAGAGGGGAGTTGCTTTTAAAATCCTGGTGTCCAGGGTTCAGCTCAGATCAGTTCCCTCTGACCGTTTTTCTGAGAGGTGCCCAGGCATGAGCATTTTAAAGCCTGTCCAGGTCACACCAATGTAGAGCCAGGGCTGAGAACCACTGAGAAATCTGGTAGGGCTAGAGCTGTGTGGACTGAGGCCATTCCCAAATGTACAGTAGAACCTCCACAGTTGACCTCCTCCTTACCTCTTTAAGTTGACCTAATTTCCAGAGACTGGACATACACCCTGTGTACGTATCAGTATGACAGGCCTGGTTCCTTCTGTTGACCACCTCCGTATGTTAACCAGTTTGTTACAGTGCCTCAGGTGGTCAACTAACAGAAGTTCTACTGTACTTCAAAGCAGCCTTTCAAGAAAGGAAAAAATGGAATTTTCTAAAAGCAAACTAGTTGGCTATTTAGCGCCCTCTCCCCATTACTAATATTTCTGAGGAAGAAGGGGACGGTGTGGAGCAGCCTGAAGGCCCATGTGTGCAGGCGCAGCGCTGACGCTAAGTGCCCCTGCTCATGCACCATGTCACAGGAGCAGCCAGGAAGCCAGAGCCAGCACCAGGCCTGAAATGTTCGCTAGAGCCTACAGCTTCCCCTTTTGGGAACTGTCCCCACCTCTTGTCAGAGCCCTTCCTCTCCCACTGAAGACAGTCTGGGTTTGGGGTGGAGAAGAAAGTTATCTGACACAGTGCTTCATACTAAAGTGTTAAAGACTGACCCAGCCAGGTCTCCTGAGGGAAATCTGCTGTGTAACCAGGCAGCCCCAGAGAGGACAGTGCTGGGCCCTCTGCCTGCCCTTCAACCCCATCTCTGCTTCAGCCCCTGCCGTTGGGGCAGGAAGACTGCTGATGGCAAACAGGAAACCCCAGAGCAATTGTGCCACACACAAGGACGGAGACTTGAGCTGCGTGCAGGGCTGGGGCCCTGCCAAGACCTAGAGATAACAACAGATTCCATATCAGTTTTCTAAACCTGAGCCTGTCCTCAAAAGGAGCACTGTAACACAAAAAGGAGCCTGTAACACAAAATTCGGGATTCTCTGGAAGAAATAGAAGGTCCACTTACTGTCCTATCTGGGACCTGTACCTCCTCTGCCTCCTTTCCCACTCTGCTCAGGTAAGGATCTAGCCCCAAACACCACTTGGGGGAGAACAGGCCAAGTGTCCTGGGTCCATCTACTCGCTTCCCCTTTGTGACTAAAAAGGCCTTTCTCCTCCCCACCCCAAAGGAATTTTAAGCCTCAGGAAAGAAAGAGAGGAAGGTATTTGGGAAGAGGTTGCCTGCCCTGCCAGGGAAGGGACAGCACTTAGAGGGCAGATAGAAAAGGGCTGAGCTCAAGAGAACTAGCAGCAGGCAGCACAGGGGATGGGTCCTTGACATCTGTCTCATCTGTTTGGTAACAGAATCAATCAGGGAGACTTTCATGCTAATACAACAGATGCTAAAACAACAGATGTGAGCCTAGTATGGATGCACTGTTCACCTGCTTTGACCCTAATCCCTACCACAACCCCATTACGAAAGACACTTTGGGGCACCACGGCTCTTGGCTCTAATCCAAGCATTCTGGGAGGCTGAGGTGGGTGGATCACTTAAGCTCAGGAGTTTGAGACCAGCCTGAGCAAGAGCAAGACCTTGCCTCTACTAAAAACAGAAAAACTAGCTGCGTGTTGTGGGCCTGTAGTCCCAGCTACTTGGGAGGCTGGGTCAAGAAGATCAATCGTTTGAGTCCAAGAATTTGAGGTTGCTATGAGCTGTGATGCCACAGCACTCTACCCAGAGTGACAGAGTAAGACACCATCTCAAAAAAAAAAAAAAAAAAGAAGAAAAGAAAAAGAAAGACACTTTATTATCCCTGGTTTGCAGATGAAGCCATTGAGGCACAAAGGAGCTAAGCAACTCTCCCAAAGACACACGGCTAGTAACGGACAGAGCTGAGTTGCAAATCTGGGACTGCTCAGCGACAAAGCAGAAACCCTTATAGAGTGCAACTTCTCCTGGGGTGAAGAGGATAAAAGCTTTCAGCCCCCAATCAACTGACCCAGCTATATTCTACAGGTGTGTTTCTCCCATGGGGTGTGCATCAGTCCCTAGAGGGCTCCTTAAAATACGGAGTGTGGCCCCTCCCTCCAGGTTCTGGTTCAGTAATTCTAGGGTAGGGACCAAGAAAGTGAATTTACAACAAGTTCCCCGGATGCTGATGCTGCTGGTAACAGGCTTACCTCAGTCCCTGCAAGAATCCCAGGGGACAGTTTTACCAAGGAGGAAACAGAAGGTCCCAGGCATTGGGCGACTTGTCCCGGGTCACACAACCAGCCTGAAGCCCAGTGCTCCTTCTGTGCTGCCTCGGCAGAGAGCTGGATCTGAGGGACTGGCTACATGAAGGTGCAGGCCAGCTGCAGTTTGCAGCCCCCAGCAAGCCTACTAGGCCTGGGGCAGGGAAGTGAGTGAGTGACCAGCCCAGAGGACAAGCTGTGAGAGAAACAGACCCCACAGATGCCAGGGAGAAAGACCCAAAGCAGGACGTGGGCACCAGAGCCACTGACTCTCACCCCATATCACCCTCTGTCCACCCTCCACACTCATGGGCCCTACACATTGCTCCCACCCTACACCCATAAGAAGCCTCTGTGTCTGACAAGTGACAGGGCCAGGTCCATCCAGAGGTCACCCAGGCCTGCACCCCATACAGGAGGGATGGAAGTGCAGCAGAGCAGAGCTGGGATCCCCCAAGCAAGTCTTTGCAAAGCCCCAATTCTTCTCACCCCTAGGCGGGGCCTCGACCCCAGCCTCCCTGCTCAGGCCCTGCACACAGATCTGAATTCCCTGATGGGACTGCAGGAGATCTGAGCAAGTGGTTTTGAGACTCCTCTGAGTGCCTCGCCAACAGGTGGGTTGCCAGAGGGGTGACCCAGAAGGTCACCCCTGGGGCCACCCAAACAATAGTCTCGCAGGCCGGAGAAGCAGCCACGTGTTTATAGGGAAGTCCTTCCAGCAGCCACCAGTTTCGACCTTCTGGATGAATGTTTACAAGGAAGCCCAAAGGCCCTTAGCCTCTTGTCAGAGCAACAGGGTGTCGGAGCAGGACAACCCAGTTTGATGAAAATATCTCAAATTGTATATAAAACCAGCTCACTGTACCCCATGATTGCACTAATGTACACAGCTATGATTTAATTAAAAAAAAGAAGGGATGGGAAGGAAGTAAAAACTCCAGACAGAAAAGGCTGTGTGAGTGGGTGTGGGTGTCTGTATGTAGGGGTGTATGTCTGTGTGTATGGGCGTGGGTGTCTGTATGTAGGGGTGTGTGTGTCCATGTGTATAGGTGTGGGTGTCTGTATGTAGGAGTGTGTGTGTCTGTATGTAGGGGTATATGTCTATATGTACAGATGTGTGCCTGTGTGTTTGAGTGTGGGTGTCTGTATGTATGAATGTGTCTGTGTGTTTGGGTGTGGGTGTGTGTGTGTATGGTTATGTGTGTCTGTATGTACGGATGTGTTTGTGTGTTTGGGCATGGGCGTGTGTCCATGTGTATGGGTGTGTCTGTATGTATGAGTGTGGGTGTCTGTATGTACGGATGTGTCTGTGTGTTTGGGTGTGGGTGTTTGTCTGTATGTATGGGTGGTGTGTCTGTGTGTATGGTTGTGTGTGTCTGTATGTACGGATGTGTCTGTGTGTCTGGGTGTGGGTGTCTGTATGTACGGATGTGTGTCTGTGTATATGGTTGTGGGTGACTTTATGTATGAATGTGTCTGTGTGTTTGGGTGTGGGTGTGTGTCCATGTGTATGAGTGTGTTTTTCTGTATGTATGGATGTGTATGTGGGGGTGTGTGTGTCCATGTGTCTGGGGGTATGTGTCCATGTATATAGGTTTGTGTGTATCTGTGTGTATGTATGGGTGTGTGTACATCTGTGTGTATGGGTTTGTATATCTGTATGTATGTGGGGGGGGTGTGCGTGTCCCTGTGTATGCGTGTATGTCAGAGTCTGTGTGTTTGGTTGCGTGTCCGTGCATATGGGTGTGTGTACGTGTGAGGTGAGTAGGTGCAGAATTTAGGTTCCAGCTCAGAGAAATCGGGGACCTACCATGCTAACCCCTACTATCTGCTGACCTGTGGGGAACAGCCTGTCACATCTGCCTCCCGGAAGCAGCACCTCTATGACCTTCAGCCAGAGGGGCCTGGCCAGACGAGAAATTCCATGTGACAGGTTTGGCCCAGGGGAGAGTGGGAAGCCGGTGGAGACAACACTGGCTCCAATAAAGCCAGTGGGATGGAACACTCCCCGACCTGAGCTCTCAGCACTGAGCGCTTTCCGCGTCCTACCTGCGCAAGGGGAAGTCACACTTCCTTCCAGTCCAATCATTACCGGAGGGCCTGAGGCCTGTGTCCTTTGCTGCTCTCACTCTCCCGCCTGAGAGGCTGGTCTCTCAGCTCTGCAGAGACACGCTGCCCATCCCGGCAGGTGGGGGGCTGATCCGGTTCTCTGCTTCCTACAAGCACAGGTTTCTTTGATAGCCACGCTTCCTGTTTACTGGGTGGTTTCCAAATCACAGGCCTCTCTGAGACGCATCTCTGACCTCACATCCCCTTCCTAAAGGGAACCCCAGCAGTTCTTCCTTTTTTGGTGCTATAGGCTGAGACTCTGAGCTCTGTGTGCAGAGACCTTGGGGCCTCCACTACTTGCTACCTGGGTATAGAAAAGCTAGGGTGCCTGGCCTCCCCCACCTCCAGAAATGGGCAGGTTTCCGGGATGTGAGAAGTGGTGAGGGGAGAGCAGGTGTGTGCTGAGGGCAGAGAGGCGGGAACCACAGCCCTGTGGGGCCACCTTGCATCCATTATCCTTTAACCATGTTAACACACCCAGCATCACATGCAGGGAAATCCACCTTCCCCAGCAGATCTAGGGCCCTTTGCAATGCCAGGAAAGATGGCACATCTGGGAGTTTCCAGAACATTTCCAGGAGGCTGAGAGGAAGTTTGCCACAATACCACATTCATGGCCTCCTCCAACTGCCCTGCCCTGTGACCAGCTGACTAACCCTAAAGGACAGTCAGCACCATGAAAAACAGAATTGCTCCTCAAAATGACCTTCAGAGGTCATCTCTATAAAATCTTTTTTTTTTTCTTTTTGGCTATAGTATTTTATTTTATCATTATTATTATTATTATTTTGAAACAGTCTGACTTTGTGGCCCTCAGTAGAGCGCCATGGCATCACAGCTCACAGCAACCTCAAATTCTTGGGCTCAAGCAATTCTCTTGTCTCAGCCTCCCAAGTAGCTGGGACTACAGGCACCCACCATAACACCCAGCTATTTTTAGAGATGAGGTCTCTCTCTTGTTGAGGCTGGTCATAGAAATTGTTAACTTTGTTACCAACTTCAGCAGGTACTTCTCTCCAGTAAAGCAGTAGCTGCAACCAAGTCAAGACAAATTATTTCACTACAACATGAAAATAGCAACCTTTGGCCTATTGCAAAAGGCTTTTCAAAGACGTCAGTCTCTAACTTGTAGAAAATGGAGGGAGGCAGAAATACAGAGTGCTGATACTATAACTTGATCTCACGTTGTGGTATATTTCCAGCTGCAGCATTTTTTCTTTTTTTTTGAGACAGAGCCTCAAGCTGTCCCCCTGGGTAGAGTGCCGTGGCATTACAGCTCACAGCAACCTCCAACTCCTGGGCTCAAGC